CAACCTCCACCTGCACGTGAGTACTCGCCCGCCCCACGCCCCTCTGCGGGCGGGGCCTCCTGCCCCGGAGCCCGGCGGCCCCACCCGAGCCGCCCCCCTCCCAGAGCCCGCTGGGGTTTGGAGGGTTCAAGGCCCCCTGGTCACCTGCCTCCAGGAGAGGCAGTCCCTGAGTCCCCTGCAGCGCCTTTTTACACGTGAGGAAACAGGCTGGGAGGGCGGCGGGGACCCCTGCTCAAGTCCTCACAGCTGGGCCCTGAACCCAGGTGGCCCTGTCCACGCACCTGGAGGCCTTGGGCAGGTGTTTCTCCTCCCCAGCCTCAGCTTCTCACCTGTAAAATGGGTGGGAATGATTCCTGGGAGGGAGGGGTGGGAGTCAGATGCGGCGGAAGCCCGGAGAGCCTGGTGAGGGGTGCCCTGCACCAGACCGGGCTGCCGCTCACCGCGCAGCTCCCTCTGCACCGCAGTGGCCCAGCGCCGCCCCCATTTCATGGCTCCGTCTTAACCCCGGTGTGTGGCTGTCGCCCCCGGGTTGAATGAACGTCTGCACGTGCTCAGAGTGGGGGCTTCTGCCTCTATCGGCCAAAAGCAGCGCGGACTCCTCAGGGAGGCTCGGGGGCGATGCGGGAATTCGTCCCCCACGCTGACGCCTGCTCCAATGAGGGAGGAGGGGACAGGGATCGTTCTGTCAAGGGAAAGTCACCCCATTCCTGGGAGGAGGAGGACCCCTCTAGAGGGGTTCAAAGAGGCTTCAGTCTACTCAAAGTCCACTTCCACACCGCAGGACTGGGGCCAGGCCGGGGTAAGGCCAGCACTCGGGCGCCGAGAGACTCGTAACCAATATAAATCATATTTTAAAGTGAGGGTTTTTGTTTGTTTTTTAATGAGATTTTTTTAATGAGATACTTTTAAAAATCAAATCTGCAAAATGTGACCCATGGGCTGCCCACCTGTTTTTGTAAATAAAATTTTATTAGAGCCAGGGCCGGGATTAGGGTGAGGCGGTGAGTCAGGGTCGTGCAGGTGCAGGGTCGGAGCCTGCCTTTACTTACTGCCCACCTGTTTTTGTAAATAAAATTTTTTAGAGCCAGGGCCAGGATTAGGGTGAGGCGGTGAGTCAGGGTCGTGCAGGTGCAGGGTCGGAGCCTGCCTTTACTTAAAATGTTGATACCTTGTTCATCGTGGACTTTTTTGCGTTCATTTTGATTTTTCTAAATATTGCATTAAACTATTATTTCTCTTGATTACTGACTTTTTTGGCAACTCCTTATATTTTGCCCAGACCCTAGTCATCTCGGCCCTGCCACACAACTTGAGGGGGTCCCTTCCGATGTAGGCTGTGCTGGGGTGAGTGCATGGCAGGTGAGGGCTGTGTGGGTGGGTCCTGTCATCAGTGGATCCCCTCCCAACACAGCCAAAGAAGGACTTCAGATGGATTGGGCAGCTGGTGGGCATGCTGGGGATTTTGTGCCAGGACGTGGACAGTGCCACCCAGCATGCCAGCCTGGAAGGGGTGGGCTATCTCCACCAGCTGCTGACATGCCAGAAAGGTGAGCATCCACGGGCCACCACACACCCCCATCCCCCACCCCAACCACCACCTCAGGTGGACCCACAGCACACCCCCTGAACTCAACCTAGCCCCCGATCTGCTCTCAAACCCAACCTGATCTCAGCCATACCCTATAATCACCTCACTCTGACCCCCAAACCCACCCTGACTCCTGTCCCCAACTGAGGCACAGGCCTGACCCTGAGTACAGATGACCCCACCCTAACTCCTGCCTTGTCCCAACCTAGACCCCAAGCACACCTCTGCCCAACCCTCTCGCCCCTGCTCTGCCCCACAGGAGAAGCTGAAGAGGTGGAGTCACAGTCCCCTAAGGAGCTCTCCCAGCCCAGTGCAGATGGAGCCCCCCTCTGGAACTGTGGGGACAAGAAGTCCACTCCCCCTGCCCCCCAGGGGATGGCCTTCCCGAAGAACCACATCTTCCAGCTTGGCAGCTCCCAAGTCATCAAGGTCAAAGCCCTTAGAGTCAAGGGCAGGTTTGGGAGGGAGGGTGTGGCTGGAGGACCCCCACGGTACCTGAGGGGGTGGGGAAAACACTCTTTCCTGTGTTTCTGAAGTGGAGTCAGGAGGGTTTAGGGGGGAGTCAGCACACCTTAGACACCTACCATATGTCAGGGGCTTCACAGACATTACCAAGGGGGCTGGCTCGTTAGCTCAGTTGGTTAGATCGCAGCCTCCTAACACCAAGGTCACTGGTTCAGATCCCCATACTGGCCAGCCATAAATAATGGAAACACAGACACTACCATATCCCTTTATCCAACTTGAGAAACCTTCCCTGGACTGCTCAGATTTTCCCATTTACAGCCCCTTGCCCCCATTCATGTCATGACCTGAACTGTATTATCCTCTGAAGCTGAGTGAGACCGAGACACAGGTGAGAGCTGGAGGCTGGCATTGACCGGGCCGGGCGATATCTCACGGAGCCCCATTTCAGAGCTGTCAGCTCATGAAGTCCGTGAGACATGACATTTGTTTGCCCACGGTTGGTGTTGAACCCTGGCTAACAGCGGCCCCGGTGATCGGCAGCTGTCAGTCCCTGTTAGACCTGAGCACTGCAGCTGGAGGTAGGGTCTCACTGGAGCCTGGTGGTAGAGCCGGCCTTCAGCAAACACCCGTGAAATTGAACCAAGCTGAGGCAAATGAAGGAGAGGTGCTGGCGCAGGCCAGTGGCTTCCGTGGGATCAGGTGCAGTCCCAGCTGACCGCACAGCCGGGCTCTTGCAGCTGTGGTGAGCCGGCGGGCTCCAGGGCTCATCAGAAGTTTAGTGCAGAACATCTAAAGCCCTGGGGCCAACACAGCAAGTGTCCATGCCCAGAAGGAGGAAAACTGGGCTGCAATTTACACCGAAGAACCTGCACTGGGGGCAGAGGCAGTGAGAGGGGAGGGCTCCACCGGCTGCCAGAGCAGTGGTGCCCGCAGTGAGGGGCCTAGTGACCAGAAGCCTAGTGTCTGGGACTGAGAGAGGGCACGCTGCTCCACCCTGCATGGTCCTGCACACAGGCTGTGGTTGTCCCCCTCTGGAAATTGAATTAAATTAAATTTACATGTGGCTGGTGGCTCTCACATTGAGCAGTAGTACTCTAACTCATCCAGGAGGTCCCACTGGTGCAGCAGAGACCTGGCCCAGGTCCTCCCTCCAGGGGATGGGAGTCATCCAGGAGGTCCCACTGGTGCAGCAGAGACCTGGCCCAGGTCCTCCCTCCAGGGGATGGCAATCTGCCCCTCTCCCCGAAATTTCCCCCAGAGCCCCTTCATCACCCCAAGCAGCTCATGGTCTGCTCAAGGAGGTGAGACCCACCTCTCTAGACCTTTAGAACCACTCCTGGGAGAATGTGAGCAGAGAGCAGAGTCAGGGCCCTGGTGAGGCTCTAACATGGGGACAGGGCCCTGGGTTCAAGACCCAGCCTGCCCCACCCATCCCCTCCCTGGTCTGAGGGCAGCCCCTTGCACATCTCCAGGCCTTGGGGTTGGTCCAGGTGACCTTGAAGATCCTTCACAGCTGTACCCAGCCTGCCCCACCCATCCCCTCCCTGGTCTGAGGGCAGCCCTTGCACATCTCCAGGCCTTGGGGTTGGTCCAGGTGACCTTGAAGATCCTTCACAGCTGTGAAGTTCAATGTCTCTTTAATTAAAATGCTCTTAAAGAGGACTTGGGCCTGGCTGTGGGGAGCTTAGCAGATGAGGAAGCCCTGTGGGGTGAGGGGGGCAGAGGAGTGGGGAGAGAAGGTGGCTGGGCCACCCGGGTCCCAGGAAAAGGGCTGGGGTCTGAGTGAGGAAGGGAGCCAGGCCTGCCCTATGACGAGCACCACACCCTGCCTGCCTGCTCCTGGACTGGAAGTGCTCAGAGGCTGGAGTGGCCTGATACAAAGGAGAAGGGGTAGAAGCAGAAGCGGGGAGGAGGGCACACCTGGGGGTGCAGGTGACCCAAAGTGAGGGCCTGTGTCTGCTCCCACGGCTGCAGGAGATCATGAAGCATCTCGCGATGGCAGAGCTGACCGATCTCGTCTGGACAGTCATTGACGGCCTGGGCTCCACCAGCCCCTTCCGTGTGCAGGCCGCGGCTGAGATGCTGCTCTCTGTCGTCCGGGAGCACGGGGCAAAGCTGGAGACTGTGAGGGGCTGGGCCCCCGCCAAGGGCGAGGCCAGGAAGGGGCAGGGGCGAGGGACAGGCTCAGTAGTCAGAATCAGGGGTCAGGGACTCTGGGCCAAGATGGGGTCCCTGAACTTGGGCCTGATGGGGAAGACACAGATCCCACCCTAGGGAGCAGCCAGTCTGACAGGTTCTACTGTACAAAGGGATGAAGGGATGGGTGGATGGGCGGGTGGAAGGGTGGATGAATGAGGGAATGGCCCAAGCACCAAGCTAGTCTCCTGGAGCCCTGGGTGGCGATTGCAGGGTCATGGGGAAAACATGCATTGATTGAGCAGCTACTGTATGCTCTGGTGGGGGTTGGGGGGAGAATGGGGAAGGCCCTGGGAGAGCTTGTGGTCTGATGGAGGTGGCAGATGTGCAGACAGATGTTGTCAGAACAGCATAGAAGGAAAGCAGAGGAGTGACCCAGTGGGGTGAGAGGGGCGCCCCCAGGGAGAGGATGCCTCGTGCTGGTCCTGCAGGCGGGAAGCCTCAGGCGGCGCTGTTGACCCTGGGCATTGGTGGGTGAGAAGACAGACCCAAGAGCAGGGGTAGGGGGAGTTCCAGGCACACAGAACAGCATGTGCCAAAGTGGTGTGTTCAGGACCAAGATCAGGGTGCGGGTCTGAACCTTCCGATGACTGACTGGGGAGTGTGGACAGAGTATGAAGATCTTAAATGCCGCGCAAAAGGTAGTGGGACATGTCTCCTCTCACACTGGGACTCCCCTTCAGACCAGGCCTGCAGGGCAGGGCTGTGCCTCCCCACTCAGATTCCCCCAGGGAGGGTCATGCCTCCACTGTCAGACTCCTCAGGAAAGGACCATATCTTAAGGGATTCAGCGCTCATCAGGGCAGAACCTCCCTCCTCCGCCTTTAGACTCCCAGGCCAGGGCTGGGCCTCCCTTGTCAGGCCTCTCGCTCACCACACAGGTCGCCAACATGGGCCAGGCCATCCACCTCCACCTCTGCTCTGTCCGCATCCCCCAAGCCAAGGAAAACGCCCTGAATGCCATCACCCTGCTGGCCCGGAACCACGCCCCAGAGCTGGTGGCTGCCTTCCTGGACTTCTCCATACCCCTGGACAGGTACCGAGTCCCACCCCCGTAATGCCCCCAGACAGGACGTGTGACCTCTGCCCTCCTGTCTGCCCCCCTCACAGCCCACAAGGACTCCCCCGTCCCCCAGGGCTAAGCACTGGGAGGGAACCCGTACACCCGTGCATTTATTGCACGCCTCCTGGGGTGAGTGCTGGGGAGCCTCTGCTCATTCATTCTGCCCATAGCCACATGAAACACCCTGCCCCTGCCTCAACCACCCCATCATCTGATGGAGAGGAGGGCCCAGGACCCCGAGTGCTCCTGGCAAGACCCCAGCCAACACCAAAGCCTTGCCATCCATCAGTCTCATCCTCATCTTCAAAAATCCTCTTCTCCTTCCTGCTCCTCCAAAGACCCCCTGGAAACCACCACAGCCTCCTCGGGTGGAGCTAGTTTTTCTCCCACAGCTCTCAGACCTCTGAGCCTAGAGGAGGGTAGGGTCCTCATCACTGCTCATGGCCCCTCCTCCCTAAAATTCCAGCTCTGAGTCTCAGGCTCTCAGTCTATACCACCTGCCCCCGATTCACCTGCACCCATGCACCTGCCCTGGGTCAACCCTCACTCTTTGAAGATGGAGCTCCAGGTCAGGGACATTACTCATTCCCCTACTGCCTTCACTTTTGGGAATTCGCTATCTTTCCCTCACCCTGACTTCTCAATGCCTGGATCTCCTGTCTCCCAGCCATCTTGTCCCCCATCCTCTCTCAATGACCCACTCCCACGGTTATACCCTCAGCTTGGTCATCACCAATTTCAAGCATCTGTTCCCCACCTTTGACCACCTCCCACTCTTACAGCTCACTCCCTCCAGTACCCACTGAGCCTCTGCCCTGTGGGACCTGCAGCCCAGTGCCCTGCCCACCTTTTCACATCTCCTCACCTGCCCTCCCTGTCTCCCTCCTTTCCAGCATAGGTTCCACCTTCCAGCATTCCAGTGGCTCCCAGCACACACCCGAGGTCCCTTGCCTTCAGCCACTGACCTTGCTTCCTACTTCACTGAAAACTCAGAAGCCACCTGAGGAGAGCTCTCACAGGCTCCCAGCACCTTCAAGTTGTTTCCAACAAGATTTCTAATTTCAATGTGGAAGCACCCTTTGTTTTCAGTAATTTCTAGTTTCATTGCATTGTGATCAGAGAGTGTTGTCCATAATATTTCTACTTTACAGAATTTACAATCTTCTGAACAATTGTGAATGTCCCATGAGCACTCAACCAGATAGTATATTTTCTACTATCAGGGCTTAGAGTTTAATACATATCCACAAGTCTTACCTTATTGATTGTGTTGTCTTCCACATCCTTACCTAATTTCTGTCCTCTTGATCTGTCTTGTACTGTGTGTGTTAAAGTCTAAGGAAACATTAGTGTGTTTCTATCTGTATCCTTCCAACTCCTCAGTTTTTACTTCATAAAGATGATTGCCATGTTATTTGGTGCATACATATTCATAACTATTTCCTCTTCTTTGTGAATTGTGACTTTTAGCATTAAAAGCTGCCCTGCTTTGTCATGCTTAATGCATTGGGGACTTGAATTCTACTTTGGCTGTTTTCAGCATCACCACCATTGCCTTTTTTTTTTTTTTTTTTTTTCTTGTATCTTTAAATGCTTGTTTGAGTATATTTAATTGCATTTAGAATGAGTGTTGTCTTAGGGCTTTTTTCTGCATCATGATTGTTTTTAAGGGGGAATTTCTTCATTTTGTATGTGTTGATTTTTGTTTTCTGATTTTTTACAATACCTCTATGGGTGTTAGTTTTGTTCCCGCTTATGTTTGTGCTCTTGGAATGTTTTATAGGATTTCAAGTTCAATGGCACCCTCTTCTGTCAATATAGCAAAGTCCAGATAATTTAATAGACTTTGTTTTGCTGGTAGGCAAAATGGTATGTGTCCTCCAATTTTTTGGTTATTTAAGCCCTTTTGCCAGATCCTCTTCTTTCTCTCCCCCATCGTTTCTCTCAGTCTGCCTTTATCTGCCACAGAGCCTTGTGGTAGAGTGGGATGGGGTGGGAGCATAGGAGATTATGCCGAGCTTGGTATTCTTTCTCATTGTTGATATGCTTGCTATATAGTCTGTTATAACATTAGTCTGTTATAACATTTTTGTAATTGTGTGTATTTTGTTATATTTGCTATCTTTCTTTTTCTATGAGGTGAGTATTCTTTGCTCTTTAACTTCAGTTTTGTTTTAACTTTGTAAGGGTTGTATTTTGTTCTAGTTGTTACCTTTTTGCTCCTAACTTATTTGAATGCCCTTAGTCTCCTATTTTATTGCTTAACGTTTTAGTATCTTATTTATCCATTCTTAGTTGATACCCATTAATAGCCACCGATTACCTATACAACAACCAGTGAGATTGTTCTGTTTTCCTCTTTCTGTCTCCCTTCTCGTTTTTCAGTTGGACATTTCTACTTTGTCAAAACATATAGCATTTGCACTCTAGTTGCCCACCTCATCTGCATATTTATTTTTGGTGTGTTCACACATATTCATGATCATTCATGTGTGCTGAAGTTTTCTAGTCATCTCTTAGTCTGATGAAGCTCATCCCCTGGTAGATTCTTCAAGAAGGGCTCATGACTTCAGAATTTCTCAGGTTCTTTTATGTTGAAAGTCATTTATTTGAATGACAGTTTGGCTGGATTGTTGTTTCAATGCTGTTTCATTGTTGTTATTTTTAAAAAGTCTGATGACTATAATTTTCTTTGCTTTTGTAAGGTATTTGATTTTTTTGCCTGGAGGTCTTGAGGATTTTTTCTTTATCTTTGAAATCTAATCCTTGTACTAGGAAATGTCTCAGAGTTGATCATTCTGGATTAATTTTCCCAGATATCTGGTACATCCTTTGATTATGTGGATTTAGGTATTTTTGTAATTGTTGTTATTTCTAGGACATTTTCTTAGTTATAGTTTTAAATATTAGTTCCATTCCATTGTTGTTTTTCTTCCTCAGGGACTCCAATAATTCAAATGCTGTTCCTTCCTTGCCTATCTTCCATGTTCATTAGTTTCTCTCTGGCCTTTTTTACTTCTTTCTTAAATTCACTTTTATTCTCTTGGTTGTTTTTCTGTCTTTTCTAAATGCCCCTTATTAAATTTTCATTTGAGTACTATCTCTTTTGGACACCTTGTAATTTCTCTTCATTTCTGAAATAATTATTTCATTTCTTCCATTTTTTTCCTGAATTCAATCAACTCTTTTCAGTTCTTATTGGAGTTTTTTGTCCTTCTTTGAATTTATAATTCAAAGCGAATTTTTGTATCTTTAAATGCTTGTTTGAGTATATTTAATTGCATTTAGAATGAGTGTTGTCTTAGGGCTTTTTTCTGCATCATGATTGTTTTTAAGGGGGAATTTCTTCATTTTGTATGTGTTGATTTTTGTTTTCTGATTTTTTACAATACCTCTATGGGTGTTAGTTTTGTTCCCGCTTATGTTTGTGCTCTTGGAATGTTTTATAGGATTTCAAGTTCAATGGCACCCTCTTCTGTCAATATAGCAAAGTCCAGATAATTTAATAGACTTTGTTTTGCTGGTAGGCAAAATGGTATGTGTCCTCCAATTTTTTGGTTATTTAAGCCCTTTTGCCAGATCCTCTCCTTTCTCTCCCCCGTCGCTTCTCTCAGTCTGCCTTATCTGCCACAGAGCCTTGTGGTAGAGTGGGATGGGGTGGGAGCATAGGAGATTATGCCAAGGTTGGTATTCTTTCTCATTTTGTTTGTAATAATTTTGAAGCTTGGGCATTCTCTGTATTTATGCTGAGGTCATAGTTTTTGTGCAGTTGTACATTTTCTTTCTTCTTGTTCTGTGTTGTTTTTCAAGGAAATTTTGGGAATGTGGGGACCTAGGCAGCAGGCATTGTCTTCAGTTACCCAGAAGTTTATAGTTCAGTTTTACTTGGATTGGAATTTATATCTTATTTCCTCAGTTCTAAGCACATTTTTCACATTTTAACATTTACGAAATTAGAGTGCATTTTACATTGACAGTGCCTTATAACTGTATTTATATAAGCTTCTACCAGTCCCCTGGGCACTATCAGCTTGAGACCACTTTAAATTTAAAAGCCTCT